CTCCGTTAGACAAAGACTCAAACACACCTCAATCTCATAACGTATACAACATACCAACACACACATTTTCTAGGTCTCTCTACATGAAAGTCATATTTAATGTCGAATGCAAATTCACGTACAGCATCTCTAATGCAAATCATGCGCTGATATAACAGGCGCTCAAATCGATTGACCTTTGACCCGTCTGTGCAGGTTTACCCCTGGCCAATCACTGCCGACGATCAACTCTTTCCCCACCAGCGGCTTGTTAAAAGGGTTAAAAAACAAATGCTACTTTGAAGTAGTTTTATGTAGTTTTGAAAGCTTAAAGCCCATAGGGCCAACAGGCCAATCATGTTGCTAGCATGACTTAGCACGATGCTACCATGATACTAACATGAATTAACACATTGTTAGCATGTTTTAACATGTTGCTAAGATGTTTTAGCAGATTGCTAACATGTTGCTACCATGTTTATAACATGAATTAGCACAATGCTAACATGATTTAACACATCCTCAGCCTGTTTTTAACATGTTTTAGCATGTTGCTAACATGATTTAGCACACTGTTAACACGTTTCTACTATGAATTTACACGTTGCTAACATGTATCACATCAAATTAATTTAAAATATGAATACAAACCATAATAGTATCACAATGATACTAAAATAACTGACTCACGTCATCCTGCATACAGCGATTGTTATTGCTATGGAAACATAATTCAGATGTTCCATGAGTGAAAGGCCTATGATGGGTTACGTAACATCTGAGTCGTGAGTGTCTGGCATCAGTCATAGCGTTGCCATGGCAGCAGTTTGTGTTTATGGGATGTGACTCTCGATGGGTGTGGGACTGTCAATCAGCTGAGCTCAACAAAGATATCAAAACATGATGAATTATGAATCTGAGAAGATAGCGTGGGGAGTTCTGGGATGGAGTCCGGCCAGAGCGGTGATGAGTGGAAGTCCCCGAAACACCCGGCGGTGAAGCCCAGCGCTAGCCCAGCGCTAGCTACGGTTAAATATGGAAACACTGGTGCTTTCCTCACCCTTCCTGATTCAAGGGAAATGTTTAGCTTAAATTTAACATATTTGAACTGCAGATTAAATTTCCATGCATTTGGGGCACACAGTTATAACATAATAAACATCAATAAAACTCGTACATTTTTACTATTTGAATATTGCTTGTTCCACGGCTAGTCACATTTTAACCACGTTCATGAATGTTGTGAAAATGTGAACATTCAAAATGTTTTAAAAAAATGTTTTTTCTTGGTTATATGAATGCTAAGTGAACACTTAATTTTATAATGTTGCAAACGTTAACCGTCTGGTGCTGTTTGGACGTTTTTGCCCAATAAATGTATTTTTCTTTTCTTTTCTTTTTTTACTTCATCAGAATGGAATGAAAGTTGGTAGATGTTTTGGCACTTGCAGTGTGAACACACACAAAAAAAGTCAATTCTAATCCTAAATCTTAGTTTTCGACCTAAATATTAAATTTTTTTGTGCGGTTTTTCCACATTTCCATCTCAGCGTTTCTGCATTTGTCTGTAGTGAAGCATCGCATGATGTCGGATGTGTCCGAGCTTCGGTTCCTCAGGTCTCTCCTCGCCTCATGCTGATGTCATCGGTCACGCTCATGATGTCACTTCCTGTATCAAACCACTGGCGTTTCAGCTTTATTCTCGTTTTTTTACAGTTTTGAATTATTTTTTGTTTTCATGTTAATTTTAGTTTAGTTCCATTATGTGCTTTTGTCATTTAAAAAAATATATTTTGCTATTTAGATTTCATTTATTTTTAGTTTCGTTTTTTTTCTTTTTTTCCAGGTAATATCTTTAGTGCTTCAACTTAAACTTATTTCAAATTCATCTCCAAGGCAACATTTCTAATTTAAGTTTAAGTTTTACAATTAACATTTTTTCTCTTATATTTCAGCTAACAGAGATGTTTTAATAGATTTGTTTCACCGAATGAACCAAAAACACGAGACATTTCTCAGAATATCTTCTGTGTTCAGAAGCAGAACTAAGACAGAATCAGGATCGTTATTAACCTTTTAACTGCAACACACACACACTCACTCAAGCACAAACACACACACACACACACACACACTCAAGCACAAACACACACTCACTCAAGCACAAACACACACACACACTCAAGCACAAACACACACACACTCAAGCACAAACACACACTCACTCAAGCACAAACACAAACACACACACACACTCAAGCACAAACACACACTCTCTCTCTCACTCACTCACTCAAACACACACACACACACACACACACATACACACACACACACAAGCACACACACACACTCACTCACTCACTCAAACACACACACACACTCAAGCACACACACACACTCACTCACTCACTCAAGCACAAACACACACACACACACACACAGACACACACACACACACA